GACACAAACAGATACACACACAGATATATATATATATATATATATATATATATATATATATATATATATATATATATATATATATATATATATATATATATATATATATATATATATATATATAATAGTATACAAATTATGTGTCTGTGTGTGTAAAATTAAAACAGCTTTTTCAATTCGTTTGGCCAACCATTTGTTAAAGCAAGTAGCTTTGGTTTTTCCTGGCTTTTTACCAAAGTGCTTCCGGTGTTTAAAAAATGTTCGTATTATTTTCTTTGTAATGATTTTGGTTAACCGTTTTCTTATCTTTTGTTTGTTTTATTTTTTGGGGGAGAGGCTTGCCTTGCCTTATTAAAAGTATCAGTATTAATTGTAACCATTTGTTTTCGTAGTAGCAATATTAATAAAATACTTTATTTCTTTCGAGAATTCTTTCTTACTGTCGCAGACATTCGCAATGATTTCCAATGATTCTTGCCAGCGTGGCATTTCTCCATTTTAACTTCTTATCATTATTTTTTTCTGTTTTCTTTCCTTTCACTGTTTTCTCGTTTTTTTTCTTTTTAGCCTATTCTTTTCTTCCCAAGAAAGTTCTCACTTTTTCTTTTTCTTCATTACATTTTATACTTTCATTTTTTTTAAATTTCTTTCTTTGTCGTCGTTTTCTTAACCTTCTTTTCTTATTCAGCCTTTTTTATTTTATATATATTTATATATATATATATATATATATATATATATATATATATATATAATGTGTAAATGAATGACAAATTTTTTTAAAATCTCATTTCCGCACAGGAGGCACGTTACGTCGAAGTTTTTCTTTTTGATTTTTCATTTAATTAAACGATATGCTTGTGAGTGTGAGTGAATACCTCTTAATGTATGCATGTATATGCATACGTGCATATTTAGTGTGTCAGTGTGTATATATATATATATATATATATATATATATTCATATGTCTCTCTCTATGTATGTGTCATATATGAATATATATATATATATATAATTACGTTCACATATTTTATATATATATATATATATATATATATATATATATATATATATATATATATATATATATATATTTATTGCATAAGCGTATATGAGCTTTTTGGATATAGGCTTTTTAGGTGTGTGAGTGAATACCTCTTAATGTATGTATGTATATGCATACGTGTATATTTAGTGCATATATATATATATATATATATATATATATATATATATATATATATATATATATATTTGTAATTTATGCATCTACCCGCACAGCAATATAATTATACGCATGTTTTCGTAATACTTCTGCATATATATATATATATATATTCGTGGTCTGAAGAAACGTGCGCAAAAAAAAGCCCTTTGTCTTTACGAACTTTCGAGTTGGTTAATTTATTTAGAGGCATAATGACGTTGAATCTTTCCCCTAAATATAAAACATAATGGACTCTATTCCTTGATAATTGAAGAAAAACGTTGATATTTTTTTCAGAACTGTGTATTTGTTTTTTCTGGCAATTCCACTTCTTCTTTTGCGATTTCTTTCATCAGTTTTCATCACAATCTAACTGCCATCCTCGTCTTTAGCTTTAACGACATTTCATAAAGCCACTTTCCAACTCTTATCTTTAATATCTCTTTGCTTTTTCATCTCTTGTCTCTACATACGCAGTCTTCATAAGGTATTCTTCAAGTCGAAAAGAAAGACGAAATTATTGTTAGTCTTTTTTTCCAGTTACCTTGCAATCATTTTTATTCCTTTTAATTTCACATTGAATTAACCTTTTCTTAAAGCGATACGTTTACACTTATTGAATGTTGACCATTTGATGAAATAGCAGGGAGTCTAAGCAAAAGTCTTGCTTTCCCTTTTAAAATAACCACGCCAAGAAGCGTGGTTTATCAACGTCTTTGCTGCTTGGAAAGAATTTTATTTAACCGTCTGATATCGAACCCTTTCCCCAAAAAATAAACATGGCGGATAAATGAATTTGTTGCTTGGCAATTTCAGAACACGGGTGATTTTTCTTTACTTTTTTTCTTATATATTTTCTTTTTTCTATTTCAGGCATTTTTCTTGCTTTCATTTTTCTTTTCTTCATTTCATTCCTTTCTTCATTTTTTTTCTCATTTTCTTTGATTTTATTGCTTTTTTTCTTATTGTTTCTTATTTTAATTCTTTTTCTCTTTCGTTCATTTTTCCATTGTTTTTCTTTCATATTTTTTTATTTAATTACCTTTTCTCGTGCATTTGTTATTTTTTTTATTTTTGCTTTTTCACTTTTCATTCTTTCTTTTTCATTTTAATTCCTTATTTGTTCTTTTTTTTTTTTTTGTCAATTTCAATTTTTATTTATTATTTCAGTAAATTTGATTTTGTTTTTTTTTTAATGTTTTGGTTCATTCTTGGTAATTACATCATTTTTTTTACTTTATTTTTTGGTTTCAGTTTTCACTTCTTTCATTATTCCATTTTTCTTTCATGCATCATTGCTTTTCTTTCTTTCTTTCTTTCTTTCTTTCTTTCTTTCTTTCCTTTTATTAAATAGTTTCTTTCTCTTCAATTTGTATGTTTCCTCTTATCTCTTGTCGTTTTTTTTCTTTCTTTTTAATCCTATTTTTCTTTTTTCTTTCTTTCTTCACGCCTCTACTTTTCTTTCTTCCTTTTTCTCTCTCTAAATCCAACTTTCTTTCTTTTGTTTACATTCATTTTTACTTTCTTCTCTCTGATTTTTCTCTCTACATTTTCCCTTTTTCTTTCTGTTTCCCTTTTCCCTAACTATATTTATTCAGTACAAATTTGTCATTCTCCTTAATGTTTCCCATATTTGAATCCCCTTTACTTCACACTTCTCCGTCTCTAATGATAATCCCTCACCCTGATCCACATTCAGTTCATCTTTCATATCAATCGCATAGAAATACTGGCTCTATATGATATCTTTAATAAAGTCGATAACCAAGACAAATTCACGTATTAATTAAACTCAACTACTTTTCTCTTTCTGGTTCTATGTCGTTTTTCGCTCTCATTTTTCTTAAAAAACCTTCTCGTTTCTAAGACGTTTCTTCAAGAATATCCTCAGCATCTTTTTGTAGAACTGTATCTCTGATATCTCAAGTCTCCTCTTCATTTGTGCGCAAATTTTCTAGCATTCACTGCCATATAGGAATATTGATATCACATTGCAGTTCATCATTCTTTTCTTTATTTCTTATGAAAATTTCCTGTTTCCTTATATTTTACTTAGTTTTTGGAAGGCATCTTTCATTATTATACCACCGAATTATAATTTAGTACTTGCCAAGAAGGCATTTAACTCAAGACTGTACAGAATTGTATTTACTAAGCCTGATTAATAGAATCAACATTCGAAAATTTGATCTCTCCCTCTGTAGCATATTTGATAGAAAATTTGATCTCTACCTCTGTAGCATACCTACGGACGATAATGGGTATGTGCCCATTCGCATAAATACAATTGTAAATACTGTATGTTGGTCCGCAGTTGGAGATTCGTCTCTAGCTGTGCTGATCAAACTCCCTGCTTCCGAGCAGAGAGGATCTCCAGACGAGGTTATGTCGAAGGGCAGAGTCTCGTCTTGGGAAACAGCTACTCGGCTTCGTTTAACACGGAGTCTACGGGGAATTTTTGGCCGAGCATACGGGCTCGGATACTCCGTATTAAATTCGGCCCCGTGCCACATCTAATTGCGTGGAGTGGTTGGTAGATATCCTGCAGTCGGAGATTCGTCTCCAGCTGTGCTAGTCTCGTCTCGGGAAACAGTTATTCGACTCCGTTTTATACGTGGTCTGTGGGAAATCTTTGACCGAGCCTGCAGGCTTGGATACGCCACATTAAATTCGGCTTTGTTCCACCTCTGACCGCGTGGGACGGTTAGTAGAGATCCTGCAGTTAGAGATTCCTTGTGGAATTCACTTGATTCACTTCTAGCAGTTGACTACTTCTTCTACGCGCCGCTGGCGAATCATATATGTGCTGTTCTTGTTCTAATATATATATATATATATTACCAACCTTCGTTTGATTAATCTATTCAGTAACCTTCCCTAGGTTATAAAAACCTCGATCAACCCAAGCATTCAGTAAGTACGCTGTATACTCTTTTTATCTACCCGATAAAACGCGACAAATTAAGGGTAGCAATACTGGCTAATTTTCTTCATATGGTTCAGAAAAAGAGGTTTGGATTGATAAGCCAAACCTTTCTTTTCAATTTAATGGCCTTGTTATTTAATTGACACGATAAAAAGAAGCATTAATTAAAATAAGCGGAAACCTGTTTTAAGATTTTTAAAATACTGATGTTCTTTTTTTTTTTTTTTGCCTTTTTTTTTTTTTTTTCGTAAGCAGAAAACTGTTGGTTCTGCATTGGAATTAAGATAGTTATGTCAAAAGAATTTAAATAGGCCAATATTCAAATATTAGCCTCTTTAAATTCTAGGAAAAACTTACAATTTCGAAGAGTTTTTTTTTTTTTTATCCGAAGAAAACGAACGCTTAAATATCAGGCAGTAACATAAATGGCCACTTTCCATTTAAAAAGTTCTCCATTTTGTCTCCTTTACATTTTATCACTTTCAAAAATGAATAGATTCTACCACTAATTCTTGCATTACACATTGACAAATAAACAGATATTTTATGCACACAGCGATCCGTGCAAAGACAAGACAGCAGAGATGTTGGTTCAGAGAAAATGTTAAGATTCTTGGTTTCTTACTAAAAAGAAACATTCTCAGATATAATCAAAATTAACAATCTCCAGAATTTTGGTAAAAGAAATTTTAAACTTACTTGCCCATGATCATCTCATTTGAATTTTGATTCTCTCCGACTGAAATTTGGTTTACAAGATATTTAAAGCCAGAAAATATATTTAAATTGTAATAATTATTTGGATAATAATGTTTTTAGTAATACAAGTTTTACTAATTAATCCATAGCTGAGGGTAAAAACGGTGGATTCATACCTAACCACTAAATACTAACTGATTGATTGATTCGTTTTTACGGCTTATCAACCGGTTATCTAAAGCTAGAAAATATATTTAAATTGTAAGAATTATTGGGTGGGGAGCTAATAATGGATTAGTGATACAAGTCTTACTAATTAACCCATAGCTAGGGGCAGAAAAGGTGTGTTCATACCTAATCAGAATTTAATAAACAAAAAAGAACATAATGTGTATATAAAGTGGAATTAATTCTGTATTACAATCAATATATAAACTGATCCCTCACTTTGTAGGTACAGTAGTTTTTATACATTTATATTCCAGAAAGTATAAATAAGTCTAAAAGACATGTCTTTGTAGCTAATAAGTATTTCATTGATTCATTCATTCATTTTCTACGGCTTATCAACACTTTGCAGGTTATTTAAAGCCAGAATAGTTTTTTAGATTGTAATAAATCTTTTTTAAAAAATAATGATTTAGTGATGCAAGTCTTACTAATTGACCCATAACTAATGGGGAGAGGTGGATTCATGCCTTTTCCAAGTGTATTTGCGCGTAAGCGAATATAACGGACTCAAATGGAATTGGGACTCAAGTTTCCTCTCCGACTGTTCCAAAGTATCGTGTCTCCCAAGTCGCCTTGGCTGCCTCATCTGTCACGCGGTTATGGTGCTCCTCGATTTCTCCTGCTCATGAATAAGTAAGTAATTAATTTCATGAGACATGAGAGACGTTTCTGGCTATTACCATTATTATTATTATTATTATTATTGTCTGATTCACATTTAATATTATAGTATTATTGAATTAGGCTAGATAAAATAGTGGTAATGCTTGGCGTCTAAGTAAACATGATCATCCAAATTCCTCAACGCTGCATACAAGATCCAAGAAATATCTTTGAGTAGTTTATAGTCCAAGAATACTGTTGCAGAATTAAAGATGGTGATATTACTAAAGTGTTATAAAGTTCTTGTCAGTAATACTATAAGGAACCAGTGGGCATGTGGCCGAGTGGTTAGAATGTTCGCTTTCTGACCATGAGTCCCGGGTTCGAATTTCACCATGGTCGATTTGTCTTGATGTTATCGGACTGGAGGGGTTCGATCCCAGCATGTGTCACCTTTGGAAAGTGCCTGAAAAACCATACAACGGGTTGACCCAAGCCTTGTGAATAAAAATTGGGTAGACGGATAGGTGTGCTAGCACAAACTCACAAGTCATCGTGGCCGAAGGCTTCAGTTTGCTGGCCTTGTTCAAATTGTTGATCAAGCTAGATAACACGCTCTTTTCCCAGAAACTCTAACTAAGGTCAGCATAGTTGCAATATAATCCAGGGGCGGGCTCTGTGGGTGTTGAATAAACGCAAATGTGCCTGAGCAAGTGCCGCCCTAGTAGGCAGGTACCCTTGAATACGAGTGGCCATACATAATGTAAGGAAAACTGGCACAAAATGTTAAGTGAAGAACAGGTTTAATCACACAGGAGACATGGGTTAATAAGACAATAATAGAGAATACCGTAGTTCATGCCGGCATTGCGTACGGTTCAAACTCTACGACCAACTCTGCGACGGTATTTAGTCACCCCACCACGTGGGCATCATGTGGCACAAGGCCTGTTTAACGTGGGATCTCCGAGCCCGTGGGCTCGGCCAAAAATATGCCCATTGAACCCGTATAAACGGGTTCAGGGTCGGTTTACCTTCCCGAAAGAGAATCCGCCCTTCGGCGTAGCCGCTTTCGGGTTCCTCCCCGCCCGAAGGCAGAGAGGTCAGCTGGTCAGCCGGTCGTCCGACTTCAGACTGAACTCAGACCGAACCACTGAGCGACTGCGACCAACTCTGCGACGACCATTCCTATGAGCAGACATTCTATTTATCGAGGGTGGGCGAGTCCATGTTCAGCAATTAATGTAGCGAGAGGTCGGACGTCTTTCTACGCAATGTAAAGTTTTCTTAGCAGACGACAATGGGATCACCATCATCAACAATCCTTCGACTGCTTCAGGTTTAGGAGAAATAACAAAAAGACAAAATTTATTAAGAGCAGGAAATTGTGGAGAGACTTGATCGTCTACGTCCTGAAGGGACATGTCACCTAAAGAAGACGCTGTTAAAACCAAACTCAACCATGGTACCCCCGTCGACCTTCCGCTAATCACGACTCGACCGGGAGTAACTGATTTGATTTTTGAAGCTCATTAGCACAAGTTTTTATCTTGTTAAATTAAAGAGAAATTGAGAAAGCTATTACTTGACAGTTTTCTACCAAATGTTATCATCGAGCCATTTCACTGCAAGAGTTTGCGTGAGGACTGAAAGGTCATGCAAAGAATAGTAAAAAAATAAATATTTTCAACAAAGTTGTACAAGGTCTGATATCTGCCAATAATTTGGTTGGTTGATATAGCGGCATATCAACACATCTATGGGTTATTTAATGCCAAAATTTAAATAATCTGAATGCAGTTGTATGTCTTCAAATACAGATTTATTTCCCTCATTCTCTGTTGTTACCAGGTTCTGTTTCTCCTTACATTTTGATGTTCCTTTCAGTTTTTGGTGTCCTCTTTTTGGTTGACACCTTTTTTTATATATATTTTAGGCAACACCTTCTTTGTTGATTCTTTTTTGATGCTCCCTTCTATTTTATTGTCCCTTATCTCTGTGTGCCTTTCCTCTCCTTTCCCCGTCCTCTTTTGGTAACCCCCTCTCTTTTGATGTCCCCTTCTCTTTTGGTGTCCCCCTCTTTTTGATGTCCCCTTCTCTTTTGGTGTCCCCCTCTCTTTTGATGTCCCCTTCTCTTTTGGTGACCCCTTCTCTTTTGGTGACCCCTCTCTTTTGGTGTACCCCCCTCTTTTGGTGCCCCCTTCTCTTTTGGTGACCCCTTCTCTTTTGGTGATTCTTTCTCTTTTGGTGTCCTTTGCTCTTTTGGTCTCCCCTCTTCTTTTGGTGTCCCCCATATCTTTTTATGTCCACTTCTCTTTTTGTGTCCCCTTCTCATTTGCTGACCACTTCTCTTTTGGTGTCCCTTTTCCTTTGGCTCCCCTCCTCTTTTGGTGCTCCATTTTTGTTGTCCCCTTCCTTTTTGGTGTCCCCTTCTCTTTTAGTGTTCCCTTCTCTTTTGCTGTCCCCTTCCCTTTTGCTGTCCTAACCAGATGCTTATTACGCTTGATGTTTAATATAGTTTCACATACAAGTATCCCATTGTATCTTTTCTGTTACTTTTTACACTACGCATTTGAAGCCTGATATTTAAGTAATTTTTTTTAAGCATTGAGATTTTGAATTGTATTTATTTGGGAAACAAGAAAAGAGTACATATGTGTTTCTTAAGCAGCAAGACACATCAGGATATGACAATCAAGTGATAGTAAATTTTCTGGCCGTTTTACTGTTTCTGAAGCCATTCATAAACGATGCTCAATTTCTTCCGTATACGCATGCGTGTTGCGTGTTTGCAGCAAAATAATAAGTCATCTTCAGAAGGATTTTATGAGAAGAACTTAATGAGAAAATGCATTTCAGAATAATTAAGTTTCAGACAGAAAAATAAGAAAAAACAAGAGTATGCTAAAAAAAAATATGTCTATAAATATAATGAAACAAAGGAGATGGAGACGATATTTGACCCTGAAATTAAAACTGAAAAAAAAAAAAATATAATCAAAGAGACCTACAAGCGATTACTTAAAGAAAAACAAAAAGGCACACACACACAGACACACAAAGAAGAAAAGCAGATCAACAAAATATGAAGCCTGAAGCCAAATTGAATTGTTGCATTCACAAAGGTTTCACACACACAAAACACACACACACACACACACACACACACACACACATATATATATATATATATATATATATTATAAATTAATTGATTTAAAATATGGTTATTTTCGCTACACAGTTCCAACCATGTTTCAAAAATAGAAGCTAAAAACCCTAATTTTATTTTTTGCAATTAAATAAAAGCATTAGTTCATTTCATCTTCAAGCGAATTTATTTTATATATATATATATATATATATATATATATATATATGTGTGTGTGTGTATAGGTGTTGAAATGTTATCAACCTCATAAATGTCCCAAAATCGGGATTACGATATATGATAATTAAAACAGGAAGTGAGTCAGGTCAAGAACTTTTCTGTCCCTCATATATATATATATATATATATATATAGGTAATTCGAATGAGGTAATTTTGCATATTTATTCTATATATATTATATATATATATATATATATATATATATATATATATATATTAAACAAAGTTAATATGCAATAGTTGAATTAGACCAGGAAACAGTAGTATTAAAAAAGTGCCGAATATACATATAAAAAGATAATTTATCATGTAGAACTTTTAAGTATGCAAAATTAGAAGTGCAGCCGATTTCGCTACCTTGGTTCCAACCTTTCAGTATCTTACGAAAGGTTGAAACTAAGGTAGAGGAATCAACTTTATATATATATATATATATATATATATATATATATATATATATATATGTGTGTGTGTGTGCGTGTGTGTGTGCGTGCGTGTGTGTGTGTGCGTGCGTGTGTGCGTGAGAAAAGATAAATTCGGAGAAAAAAAAATAAACCTACCTTTACTCTTCCTTTTGCTTTCATCCTTTTTTCTTCGTTCTTTTCTTCTTCTTTTTCTCTTTTGTTTTCATTTGTATTCTTTCCTTTCGATTCGTCTTCTTTCCAACTTCCTTTTCTTTCTTTCTTTTCCCGTCAATATTGTCACTCGCTTCCTCTCCCATACTTGCACACCTCAAGCACGAACTTTCCTTTCTCTCTCTCTCTCTCTCTTTTTCCTTCTTTCTCATACATTCATATACCTCATTTTCTTTCTTCTTCGACTCATGTCACGTTTCTTTTACCATATATACCCAAGTTGTTAAAATTCAACTTAAGTAACTTGAGCTCACCACTTGTACAGTAAATGATCATTAAAAATTATATATATATATATATATATATATATATATATATATATATATATTATGGTTAAATGCAAAAAAGTACTATATTCATATATGAGTGTGTTCTTAAAATAATGATTCCATTATATTGTCTGGATAAACGCTGGACACGATAAAATGATGGGAGTTCGACTTTATGTGTAAATGCATGGGATTTAGATAGATAGATAGATAGATAGATAGATAGATAGATAGATAGATAGATAGATAGATAGATAGATAGATATGGATTTTGAACAATGATTGTATGAAGAACCAATGGGGTGATGTAGGTACATATAGATGATTGTAAACATAAGAAGCTTCCGATACTGTTTTTGGTTTATGAACGTATATAGACGCGTAAACTTCCATAGTTTCAGGGATAGGCCAGAGAAACGGCTGCAAAGTCATAGGTACATGCATTCGCAACTCTATTAGATTGTCATAAAATTATATCGCGCACATATATATAAATATATACATATGGATGGATGGATATATAGCAAAATAGTCACACGGTTTCACGGTACAAGATGTACGAAAAAGTCATACACACGCATTTTTATGCATGCATATCTAATCGATAGAAAAACTTGAAAATGCCTAGAAATTCATATTAATTATATATTAAGTTTAGTGATAGATAGATAGATAGATAGATAGATAGATAGATAGTGAACAGACTGAGATAGATAGATAGATAGATAGATAGATAGATAGATAGATAGATAGATAGATAGATAGATAGATAGATAGATAGATAATCTTTCCGTTTTTCTTTATCTCTCGTTCGCTCTCTTGCACCCTCCCCAATGCTTCTTTATTCGTTCTCTATCCAAAGTAGTCACGGGGATTGTTACATCTTAATGATCTTCCGTTATTCTTTATTAAAACTAAGATAGATAGATAGATAGATAAATAGATAGATAGATAGATAGATAGATAGATAGATAGATAGATAGATGATATATAGATAGATAGATAGATAATCTTTCCGTTTCACTTTTTTCACCCCCAACATACTTTCATATTCGTTCTCTATCCAAAGCATCATTATATCTTAATGATCTTCCACCGATGCTTATTAAAACTAAGATAGATAGATAGATAGATAGATAGATAGATAGATAGATAGATAGATAAGCAGGTAAACATTTCTCATCTCTCTTAAATTCCTTTGGGTGTACACTGGAATAAATTCCGGGCCAAATTCCTCCCAAAATATATATGCATACCTTCTCTCATATTTTCCTATATGCAATGAAATCTCTGTAGTTTTTTCTTTATTTTCATATTAACTTGCAAAAACAGGAAACAATTTCCCCAAAGAGAAGTATTGTGGGTAACAAAATAGAAAAGACATCTTAAAATAAAATAAAGACTCAAATGGAAGAATTAAAAGTGTTTCAAAATACACTAAAATAGAAAAGAATATATATATATATATATATATATATATATATATATATATATATATATATATATATATATATATATATAAATGTATATAAAATATTAGAGCGTCAAACACTCACCAGGTATCCTGACACATATTAGCGGGACGTTGTCTAGAATAATTCCTTCAAGGCCGTAAAACTGCAAGCTGTAGTTGTCGCGTTGAGTTCGTTGTCACTAGTGAATGGGTTTATCAAAAATATGTCTTTAGATCTATGTTGACGCTTTCTCTGACTACAAGTGTGCTTTAACTGAATATTTGCCTTTGGAGAGTCACACACGGAAAATACATGTCCCAGCTCTAGCGTAAAAAGGTACAGCATAAACAATTAGTTGCTCAGGTAGTTTTTATGATCACCGATAACGTCGGCGAACCAAGATAGACATAAAATGTCTATATATGTGTTTGTCAGCGAATTTATGGCTCGACAGAGAAGAAAAAGGAAAAACTTAATGTTGTATGTATTGTACTATGAGTGCATATATGTATTATATATTTAAGCATATATATTTGCTCATCTGTAGATATGTTCGTGTTGGGAGGTGAGGAGGTTGCTTTGAATTTATAATTAGTGAATGTTATTTATGTATATATGTTTTATAATGCAGATGCGGGAATAGGGAAAGAGAGGGTGTGTATAAAATAGGAAATGCCTCTTTTCCTGATCAATCTAGCCAGTTAGCTAGCTAGCTAGATAGATAGATAGATAGATAGATAGATAGATAGATAGATAGGGAGAAAGAGAGAAAGAAAAATAAAAAAAACAGTGAGAGAAAGTGACAGAAAGACGTTAATAGACTATAGAAAGAAAGAAAGAAAGAAAGAAAGAAAGAAATAAATAAAGTAAGTAAGAAAGGAAGAAATAGATAGATAGATAGATAGATAGATAGATAGATAGATAAGGAGAAAGAGAGAAAGAAAAATAAAAAAGTGATAGAAAGTGACAGAAAGACGTTAACAGACTATAGAAAGAAAGAAAGAAAGAAAGAAAAGAAAGAAAGAAAGAAATAGATAGATAGATAGATAGATAGATAGATAGATAGATAGATAGATGTCGAAGCTAGGATAGGGACAGGTAGGCGTGCAAACATAAAGTATTGTTTACGCACGTGTGTGTGTGTGTACGGACGCGCGTGTGTGTGTATGTGCCTCAGTGTGTGTGCTTGTCTCTGTGTGTGTGTGTGTGTGTGTGTGTGTGTGTGTGTGTGTGTGTGTGTGTGTGTGTGTGTCTGTGTGTGTCTGTGTGTGTGCGCGCGTGTGTTCTGGCGTTGTCATGGAACCTGAGAAGCAGGAAGTTGAATCGAAATCTGGGAGACTGGAGAAGGTGATGGGCCAGCGGGTGTATCCTGTTTGGGACTATATCGGGAAGCTAGCAAAACTCATCCGCATATTTATATAGAACTGCACTGGCCAGTAAGTGATTGTAAGTGATCAGTTCTGGACCACCTGACCAGTTGAGTGAAACTTCCTATTCCGATTCAAAAAAAAGGGACAAATAACAATTTTAATGCATTAAATGAAGTTATCGTAAGCGTCAATAATGTATGCGGACCATGTAGTTCAGTAGATTTACAAGTATACAATAAAACATGCTAAGTCAGCGATGAAAATCACCTTTATTAAAATAACAAAAAAAAAAAAAATTAATTGCTTGTTCTGAGATAGATAGATAGATAGATAGATAGATAGATAGATAGATGAATGAATAGATAGATAGATCGAGTGAGCGAGAAACAGGGATATATATATATATATATATATATATATATATATATATATATATATATATATATATAGAGAGAGAGAGAGAGAGAGAGAGAGAGATAGATAGATAGAAATAGAAAGAGAAGTGTAGATAAAGTGACAAATAGCTAGCTAGGTAGATAGATATAAAAAGAAGAAGAAGAAGAAGAAGAAGAAGAAGAAGAAGAAGAAGAAGAAGAAGAAGAAGAAAGAATGCGAAAGATGTAAATGTGCACAGGTTTTCTCTTTGTCTTTTTCTCTCTCTCTCCCACCTCTCTCTCTTTCTCTCCCCCCCTCTCTCTCTATATATATATATGTGTGTGTGTAAGCGTGTGTGTGTGCGTGTGTGTGTGCGTGTATTGTGGATGAATAGATAGATAGATAGATAGATAGATAGATAGATAGATAGATAGATAGATAGATAGATAGATAGATAGATAGATAGATTACAAATTGTTTTGATGAAGAGAGAAGGTGATAAAGAGAAAGAAAGGGTGAATGAGAGAGAGATAGTGAGAATTAAGCTAAGAGACTCTGAGATGAATAGACGGAAAGATATAGATTTCTTTATATATATATACATTTATATTTCATAAGTTTCTTTTTTCAAATACACTCGTTGATCTGTATTTAATTGAATTTAGTCATAAAATATTCAAACTGTCGTCTCCTTCATAAAAAAAATGTTTATTTTCCATCTTAGTACACAGTATCGTAACCAACACTACTCATTGCACTAACAAGAAAGGGCGGTTTACTTTTGACCATCGCCCGACAACTTTATCACCATACCGCTGTGCCAAACCAGAGAATACACACGAATTTTTTCACCGAACGAACACCTTCCTTCACTCAAAATATTTATAAAGAGTTTTATTTAAATTTCATTTCTCTTTATTTTTTTTTTATTTTATTTTATCTATTTATTTATTTATTTTTACAATGTAAACCTAAGGGAACATATATAATTTGAAGAAGAAGGCCGTTGACATCATTCAAGGTTATCTTGATATCAACAAATTAGTGCTTGTTTTTTACTTCACAGCACGTGTTCGACATTCTGTAATAAAAAGAAAAAAAACGTACATTGGAGACAAAAATTTCCAGCAGACACTTAGATTTAAATACGCATGCGCGGAGATGGTTCGGGTTGTGGCTTAGCTAATAAAACTATCAATCTTTTTTTTTTTTTTTGATGTCACCGCTTCGCTTCATTTTATTATTTTGATCGACCCAATCTCCAGATTATCGATTTTTCTACAGCATTTTTTATTACTGAATATCCATTTCTATGCTTGTAAAATTTGCTCTTGAATTTAACACTGCAAATAAAGTTATCATATCTAAGAGAAAATGCAAATCTGAATTCAAAAGCGCTAAAAACAGGATATATATATATATATTAACAATTATGACAAAACATGTCATAAGCCGCCACATAAGTGAATCCTCAGGCAGTGGTGCTCAACTCTCAAGAGACACATACAGTGTCGAAGCATGATTGCATTTATGTAGCGGTTGATAACATGTTTTTGTTATAATTGTTAATAAACATATTATATTATTATTATTATTATTATTAGGCTCTACTCTGTATTGGGCACTTTTGAAAATATAATGTCTGGACATTGGTACTAACTTACCTTAAACTTGGATATATACACCCCCCATATATATATATATATATATATATATATATATATATATATATATATATATATATATATATATACACACATTTTATATATATATATATATATATATATATATATATATAAGCAGAAATCCTTTTGTGTAAACATATTTTATTAAATACAACGGAAAAGGAATGTCCGTTCGTCCCTTTAGTGAATTTATACTAGTGTCAAAAGTATAAGACATTTAACGTCGAATGGAAACTTCTAAAAGAACTTGCCAAAATTGTGTGTACGTCCCTTTTCTTTCAACCATCATTGGACATTTTTAATTAAAAACTTAGAAGTCGAGAGATACACAATTGAACGCTTACATTGTTAACGGTATGGCGTTTATATAGAATAGTAACAGATTATTACGTCATGGAACTAAACTGACCTTGTAATTTAAATGCATTTTAAACACGTGTGCCCAAAGATAAAAATAAATTTTATTGTTAGTGAGTTTCTGTTAAACAGTACTTCTGAGTCACATGTATGATTTTACCTTCTCCCATAACTGAAGTGATATTTGCAAACGCATTTCGTATAGAAAATAAAACAAGAAGCTGAACAGACGTAATATTATAATTCAGCTTAGTCCTTATTTCGTTAGTTAGAACGTTCGTTACGCCCTGCCAGTACTTAGTAAATAATGGACTATTCCGTTTTGATCGCGAGGAATGATGGAAAAGACATACCAGTGACGCTGTTTTGATTTAGCGAGAAAAAGCAAGTAAAAAATAGTCATGCATTATATAATGACTTGCATTTATATTGATGGTGATTTTCTAAGCGTAGCTTGGATGTGGCACAAGGTCGAAAGTATGGAGCACCCAGTGAAGATCAAATTCACGACTCAATCCTAATTGTGTCCCCACCTATATTCCTACTTATGATTGTCATGCAATATTTTGTTAAAGTTGTTACGCTCAAATATTTTAACAATGCAATATGGGAAATTCTATGGGTATTTTATCGTCGTGGAACGAGCAAAGAACTTATTTATTAGCATAAAGAAATAAGCTTCATAAGAAAATTCAAATAGGAAAATCTGAACTTGTGTTGGGTACGACAAGTTATTTATTTTCACGTCTATCCCATAATAGTTACTACATGCGCACACGTTTTTTCATGTTAAATGTATAAACAATCAAGAGAAAGAGTTAGTATAGTATAATATATTTCCTGTCACATAATTGTTACATTTCCATGAGCATTTCACAAACTAAATTCGTCCATGCTTTGAATATTACTGCCACATCTGGTCTAGTGCTCCTACTATAAATTTAGATAGTCTTGCTAAAATCCAAAGAAGAATCTGCAATATTATTGATTTTGACCGGGTATCTCGGCTTCAGCTACATTCCCCACCACCGTAACGTATCTTCCCTGTGCCTTTTCTATAAATACTTTCATCGTAATTATTCTGATGAATTTTCCTCTATGGTATCTAAACTTTATTAATTTAAGCGCAGTACTAGATTGAAGACAAGGTCTCATCATTTTCAGTTAAAATGGTAACCGTAAGTTCTATGCTAACAGTTTCTTCTCTCGCACTTTTCGCTTGTAGAACTCTTTTCTGGCTTCATGCTTCGAGTCAACATTGAGCTTCGAAAAATTTAAAATGCAATGTCAATTGTTATCTTCTGTCTTTTTAATTGATGTTCTTTTATTGTCCTTTCTCCTTGATAGTGTGTTTTTCCTCATATTCTGTAACACGCAGTAACCCCATTGCGTCTTAGTGACTTTATTGCCTTAGTTGAGATTAAATGATTTTTAAAAATTCTAATGACTATAATGTGACAGAAGTTGTATTATATATTACGTCTGTCGCATAATAACGGTTACATTTTCGTACACATTCTATTATTTAAATTTAGCAATTATTATGTAAGCGTGTCATTAATCATTAGGTTTAATTTAACAACAATTTCGACAGAGGTAATAATCATTTACTGGAGATGTCCCGTTTTCTGTTGGTTTAAGCATAAGTAATTCAGAAAGTGCCAAGTGCATGTATAGTCATTGATATCATTTGAAGAAAAATACTTGTAAAATTCTCTAAGTAGACTGATCGAATTATTTATGTTTTATTTAGACCTCGGTTTGGGTTTGTGATTGGCTTTCGTTTTAGAATCATAAAGGACTATGACTTTGTTAAAAGTCGTTTATATTCAAAAGATTTCTTCAGGTGTTAACACTGGGCAGGAAAATTCTGTTTACGACCAGCCAGCAATGGGCAAATGAATGACCACTGATTGCGGGATATGTGGAAAAGAAACACGTAGCCTCATAGAGAGAGAGAGAGAGAAATAGCAGAATCGAAAAATTTAGGCTTCAAAAGAAAGAGAAAGAACATAAGAAAACATCGAAATTAGGGAAGAAAAAGAAATAAAGAAGCTGTCTGAAAATAGAAACTAAATCGAGTGGTTGGTTGAGGCGGGGGGGGAGGAGGTCCGTTTCATTGCTTTTTTTTACAGAGTGCGTGGGAAAGCACAGGTTAGAATAATATAAAGAAAACGAAAGATTTTAAATTAAAAGCGACCAGAAAAAGATTTAGACAAGAAGAGAATGACGGAATATAAAGGAAAAAAACTAATTATTATGTCGAAAAAGTACACCAGTAGAACATTCTAAAGA